CGTAAAACAAAAATTGTTGATATTATTAGGTACTCGCTTTGGAAAACAAATGTATACAGAGAACGAGTTAGTTTAACTTGAACGAAAAAAGAAAAAAGTAACTCGTGTAGAAAGACGATTTAACAAAAATACGTGATAAAGTGCCTTGTTAATAAGGTAAATTAATAAAGAAGATTTCTTAATTATTTTAAAATTGGCGCTACATACAAACTACAAACTCAAAATGAAAAGTATAAAACACTTTATAACTGTTTTCACGGAATCGGTTATTTTGTGTACATCAAGTGTATGAGATTCTCCTCTGCCTCTCGTTCACAAGGATTTCGTAGAACATCGGTGGGCCTCGTATCTTACCTACATACATATTCAACGAAAGTGCGGAAATGTTCGTACGAAATAGGAGAGATGCGCGTGCTGAAAATGCGCTTGGAGGTCGTTGCACCCGCGACGATGACGACAAAGACAGCGGCAGTGGCGGCGGCGGTGGCAGCGACGACGACGACGACGACGACGACGACGACGACGACGACGACGATTACGACGATTACGACGACAACTACAACGACAACGACAACGAAGATTCTTAAATACATGTGCAATAAAAAGGAATAGAACGACATAGACCTAAAACGAGGCGATACTCGACGAAATTACGACGATTACGACGACAACTACAACGACAACGACAACGAAGATTCTTAAATACATGTGCAATAAAAAGGAATAGAACGACATAGACCTAAAACGAGGCGATACTCGACGAAAAACACTCACGTTGCCGTTACATTCGTATGACTAGCAAACGGCATAAGGTATGACGAATCGGATAGAAATAGCGGAATAATGAGACGGCGATTAGTGCGGAAGGGTGCACAAGCGAAAATCGTTGCACATGACTTTCTATAAATAATTAGACGCTTGATAAATCTGCGTTAAAATTGAGATTCGGCAAGATTAACAAGTTAATAATAATCAACTATTTTGCTTTACGTTTAATAATTGGACAAAGACCATTTCCATCATTATCCCGTATTCATAGACATTATTGTAGATATTTTACACATAATATCTGGATTGGAAAAATATACGTACAATAACAATAATTTGTACATACAATTACAATCATTCGTGCATAAGCTATTGACATTCGACATTACATGATTTCTTTATGTGCCAAGTATATAATGTCAAGGATAGGGCTTAAAAGCAATTGATATATAATTGAAATTACGGAATTTATTTATATATCGGTGTGTGAAATTCAGTAAATCTATATTGAACCGATATTTCTTTATATATTTGCGGTTGATGTAACGAAATTACGAGTTTGAAATTCTTCTTCTCTTAAGGATTTATACGAAGATAATACATAGTAAAATAAAAATTTGGATAGGTCAGTAATTAAATGATCGTAAAATGATATTGCATTACTCAGGATTCTTATTTCAATTAAATTTATTAACCGTTCAATTTACGATTATTTTTATTTTATTTTTTTGTTTTTTTTTTTTTTTGTATTATAATTAATTAAAAGGAATTTCAATTAACTGAGATTCGAACGAGTCAAGAGATTCGAAATATTTAAAAGCCTGATTTATTGATGCGATTCCTTAGAAAAATATTTCAATTTTGAAGAAGAATTATGCTTTCATAATTATGAATGAAGATTTATTTTAAATTAAGCTCTCAACGCAAGTAACTTTAATTATTCATATAAATTTTCATAAATAAATAAAAAATATAATGTAACAATTTATATTTATCGTAACAAATTGAATGGTTCCAGAATTAATATTTACTAGGGAGGAAATATTACGATTACCGTCCATTCGCATATTGTAGACTCTTCTTTAAAAGCAAAGAATAACAATTAATATGGCTGATTGAATTTACACGATCGTAAAAACTGTAAAATAGCTGAAAAAATTTGTCGGACAGGTAAATGCTGAGTGTCTGTAACACTTTAGTAGTATAAACGTAAGATGTATGAGAAAGTATAAGATGGGCAATTCAGAGAAGAATAACACGAGTATTTCCCGTCGGCAAAATGAGAGAGCAAAAAATTGTCGATGTACTTCACATAACTATTTCACTCGCGAGTACTTATCTCGGATTCGTTATTTATGCGGATGCATACAACAACAACACAATGGAAAAGATTGCCCCTCGATTTTGTCTTCTACATCAGCTTTGTATTTAATCTCTCTCTCTCTCTCTCTCTCTCTCTCTGCCTTTCCTCCTTTCTCATTTTATCTAACTATATATCTATTTATCTATCTGTCTATCTTACATTTAATCAACATTATATGCTTTCTTTATACAATGAACTTTATCTTCCAGTAATTTGCTGACTTGCATTTTTTACGAAACTAATAATATAAATTGAAAAAGATTCCGTCAACTTCATGATTTTAAGGCTCCTTAAATTTTCTATTTAAAACATTGATAAAAACGCCGATACATATATTCAATGCCAAATTTCACATTTTCTATTTTATACTTTTTACATATACGTGTAAATTAGACTTATAATCACTACTCATCTTGATCTTGTTTTCCCAAAATTTTTAAATATTATCTACCTAATGAATAATGTGCATTTTAAAAGGTTTCAGGCGTGCATTACTTTTCATAAAATATTTATATTCTAATAAATTATATTTAATAAAATATATAAAGAAATATGTATAAATAATTTTTATAACAAAAATTAATGAGATTTTATTTATAGAATTTTTCGTTAATGTTATAAATAAGAGGAGCATAGTGGATTGTTTGATTATCTCATCTATTTTTAAGCGGTATGTGTAAATATTTGAAAAACGTGTAAATTGTAATAGTCTCTATTTCTCTATTATGGAGTGCTTGTTGACATGATAATGAAAACTTACTTTTCTGTAATGTGTATTTACAATATGAATACAATAAATATGAAAAGACATTTGAAATCTTAATTTATTTTCGATATTAAAGAAGTAAAAGTTGAAATTAGATTTATTCAATTTTTGGTTCAATTTTATCTCCAAATGTCCAATGTACAATAATACTTAATAGTTTCAAACAGACAAGATTCTAAAGAATTCATGGGACAAATATGCCAGAGCACTCAATTACTTAATCATTAAATATGAACATCGTATTGAACAACATGTCCAGTCGACGGTCAGGCTGCTTAAGAGAGATAGGCGATACGCGCGCACGCTCGCAAACACCAGCATACAAGATGCGAGCGCTAAAATAATCAAGCCACTCGAGTTGGGAAGCGCCCCGCCGCATTTCCGAGTCCTTAATATGAGAAGCCCAGAGCCGCCATCGCACCACTCTCATTCCGTTTGCCTTGGAATTCTCGGCGCTTGGACGCGCGGATCCGCGAGTTCGCGCGTCAAATCCCAAAGGGTTGAGCTGTGACACGCGAGGCCCGAGGACAAGGACGCGTATTCTGTGCGCAGTATGTGCGAATGCAAAATTCCCGACGTCGCTTACCGTTAAATGACGTACAAAAACCCACGGCTTTAATGCGCTTAACGGGCGGCATTTCCAAGTGCATAGCGCACGACCAACCATTGCGCGCACAGGTAATGGAAAAATTACTTGCCGCATTCAAGGAAAGA